GCGGGCGTGCCAGGACGGATGTTCAGCCTCACCCTCTCGAGCAACTCGCAGGCAGCCACCGCCTCCAGCCCCGGGATCAGCGGGCACGCAAGCACACGCAGGTTCGGCATGCCTGCCAGCAGGGAAGCCACCGTCATCAGGGGCGTATTGGGTGGGTACATTTCGTCCCAAAAAATTGCTACGTCCTCCAGTGTGACGGCATGCCCGGCCATGATGTACCTTAGTAAGGGCTGCTCAGCTAGCGACTTCAGGCCGCACTTCAAATGCCTTATGGACGGCTCGGACACGGCATTGTGCGACACGTAACAAGTCATGAAAGGCCCGTAAGCCAAGCCATGGCCGATGGAGAGCTCCCTCAGCCCAGCAGTCGACGCGACCGCACCCCAGAATACGTCTCCTTTACTGTCCGCGGGCGCTCCGCAACCAGCAGACAACACATGCAGACACCTGAGCTGGCCAAGCGCCTGCTGGTGCCGGACGATGAGAGCGTACAGAACGGCGCTCTCTGGTCTCACCGCGAGTACCAGTTTGACTACGGTACACTTGGTGGTGGACAGCAGCAGCGGGTGGCAGCGGAAAGACGGAAGCTCAACTTTGAGAGTGGCGAGGCACGGCGCCAGACGCAGCACTGGGCACATCAGTGGGCTGCTGTCGGAAATCTGCCTGTGCCGCCACACGGCAGGGTGGGGGCGTGTAAAGTTAAGCACGCGTGAGCGTTCACGTGAGATGAGCGTCCTGGTGAGAGGCAAAATGACGCGAAAATTGACAAACCCATAGATTTTTAGAGAGGAGGGACTAAAGAAGAGTGCAATCCTGCAAAAATATTTTCAATTTGAAGTCGTTTCGTTTAGTATATGGCACCGCACGTTGCTCGTGTGAGCGCTCATCTCACGTGAAACGCTCACGCGTACTTAACTTTACACGCCCTGGAGGGCGAGGGCGCCGAGCCCCGTGCACACGAGGCGGCAGGCGAAGAGGTCCTCCATCCCCACGTATCCCAGCACCATCAGAACAACCTCGTTGGGGAGCTTCTCCAGCTCCATGCCCTGCAAGGACACAACGGTAAGCAAGGCGGAAAAAAAGACTCAGAGCGTCGAGACTTGTAGCTTAGCTACAGCTACGTGATTTTAGTTCTTTCCAGAAATACAAAAGTCTACGTCATGTAGTCGTTCCCGCATGAAAAAAAAAACAAACGAAAAAATCGTACAAGTTTTCCGTCCGAGCTCTACGCTTAGTTCCCAGGGGTCGCAATTTGATTAAATAAAATCCGATAGTTTTGGTCATTTCAATTGACGGTCTGCTCTCTGCTCTGCTGTTTGATGTTTTAAGCATGCTCTCGCAGAAGCAATAAAGAAGACTGTTGGATATTTTAGCTCCACTGGACCCGAGTCTACGTTTCCTTACTGACCCAAACAAATTTCCATACCAGACTAAAATAAAAAGGCGTAAAAAGGCAATCTTTTTCCAAAGTTCAGCTTTAGAAACAATAACCGGAGTGTTTTATTCCAGAAAAATAGGTACTCTTGGCTGTAAATGTTGTACAAGAGATGTAGGTTGTAAGGGAAAAAAAACAGCTCACATACCTAGGCAATAATTTATTTGACATACTAGATTGATGAGACATGACAAAAGAGAACAGTCAAAATAGTCAAATTTCACATTTCAGTGAACGAGAATGGCATTGGCATAGAACCTCAAGTGGCCAGTGATTAATTTACCAGACATCAGTACCTTAACATTAAAAAATTAAGCAACAATAATAAACATTTATGATGTCTTATTAGCTTAACATTAAGAAAAATTAAATATATCGTTAACAATGCCTGATAGATTAGGAATAATAAAACATTGGTAAACATTATTTATCATGATTTATTACATAAACATTAGGCATAATTTATGATGCCAATTTGTTTCAACATTGAGAAACATTCAAAATATTTACCATGCCTCACTAGGTCAACATTTAAAAAAATAAGAACTTCGGACAGTTCAAAAAAATGATCATTTGCTCTTTCAAGAGTGGCGTCATATTCGATTGAGAAGACTATAAAAAGGAACACAAAGATGATGAACATTAAAAAACATTAGACAAACCATGCCCAATTAGCTCGACAGTACAAAAAAATAAAAAAAATTAATTATGAACAAGCAAAATAGACTTCGCTTCACTGAGGAACATCTCGGGGAATGGGAACAAATTGAAAAGAAGCAAAACGTTCGCCGTTCTCGGGCAGGCCCTGGTGGCACCCTAGCTCACAGTAGTCACATGTGGTGCCAGCGCAGTAAGATGAGAGGGTGGCGGGAACGAGTGGCTGGACATGGGGATTGTCTGACATGATAGCCTTCACGCCCTCTTCGTGGAGGAGACTATGAACACATGCTTGGGACGCCCAGAACTCCAGCATCAGGTACTCCAGCGCGGCCGGGGCCGTGGCCGGCTTGCCGCAACAGCTCGTCGGGCACCGCGCCGCCTACCTTGATGGTGCCCAGGGCCGGCAGCAGGGGCAGCGCGGCCAGCATGGCCCTCTGCACCACCGCGGGCATCGGCAGGGTCCACGGGAGGAAGGACACGCTGACCGACTGGAGGGTGGCGCGGGTCCGGCCGGCCGACAGGGCCTCGAAGAGCTCGCAGCAGACGGAGTGCGGGGTGTTCAAATCCCCG